TTCCTTTCCCTTCTGGTGCTTGAACTGATTGTAACCAGTTTTCCTTTTGCCCCTTTACTTTGGAGGTCAAGATATTTTCATGACAGAAGAACAAAAGAAATACTACAATGCCATGAAAAAACTGGGCTCCAAGAAGCCTCAAAAGCCGATTCCCCGACCTCTGGTGAGTGCGTTAGAAAGGGAAAAAATGCAGAACAGACTTCTGAAGGAGCTTCAGCTCCAAAAGCGTCTTTGTTCTAACTCATGCTGGCCAGCACATCATCATCTTGTCTCCTCTTAGCACTAGAGTAGGGTCTCGGGCCTTATGGTGACACCAGTCAGGACCTAGGCACGTTTCCCTGCTTTGTGAAAGGCTTTGCATGGTGAGTTCTGTAGGTAATGCCATGGGTAAGTCATCACGGGTGAGTCGTGCTGCAGGGCAGACCTGGCTGCTTCCTCCAGTTGTGATTGGAATTGTCAGCTTGCCTTTGCTCCCACCAAAGAACGAGATGCTGGTAATAGGGATATAAATAATAGCACCTTCCTGCCTTTCCCACACACGGAGTGATCTGTGGCTGGAGCATGCCTTGAAGTCTTCAAAGGGTACTGAGGAGCAGTGTCCTCATCTTGTGCCTCTACCCACAAGAAAGCAATCTGTTGACTGATGGCAGATTTTTGTTCCAGCCTGTTTGGCTCACGGCCGCTCTCTCGTTGCACAGAACCGCATTCAGGGAGCCGTCTTTGACTTCGTCACCCAGCAAGCCTTCGACATCGTCATCATGATGCTCATCTGCCTCAACATGGTGACCATGATGGTGGAGACGGACACGCAGAGCAAGCAGATGGAGGACATCCTCTACTGGATCAACCTGGTGTTTGTCATCTTCTTCACCTGCGAGTGTGTGCTGAAGATGTTCGCCTTGCGGCACTACTACTTCACCATTGGGTGGAACATCTTTGACTTCGTGGTTGTGATTCTGTCCATCGTGGGTGAGTGCGGCACCCATTTTTCTTTCTTGGTGTTTTCAGAGAAGGTGCATTCAAAGAGAACATGTAGGCACCTGGACTTCTGGCTTCCCTTGTCACCCGTGGCAGTTTGGCAGCTCAAAGGCCCAACTTGCCTGCCTTCCCCCCTCTGTCCTGGTGTTCATTTCCAGTGGTATGGAGTAAAACACTTGACAATTACTCTCCTTATCTTTAAAAACAGACTTTTTACTCACCTCCTTGGAATGTTATAATGCTTACCGACCACTGAAAATAGCATTGCAGCACTTCCTACATCAGCATGTGATTTGCACTCTTGCTTTCTGTTTGGTTGGGAATTGAACTGGGTGATTTCCTCCAAGTTTTTGGTTTTAGTGGCTAATCTGTGAGATGCCTGTAACCTCCCAAATGCAAGTTATACAATTTAGAGATCGTTTAAACCTGGCTGGCCCAAACACGCTGACAAAACCCAATCCTTTTCTTCTTCTTCAGGAATGTTCCTGGCCGAAATCATCGAGAAGTATTTTGTATCCCCCACTCTCTTCCGAGTCATCCGCCTGGCTCGTATCGGACGTATCCTGCGTTTGATCAAAGGAGCCAAAGGGATCCGCACCTTGCTTTTTGCCTTAATGATGTCTTTGCCTGCCTTGTTCAACATCGGCCTCTTGCTCTTCCTGGTCATGTTCATCTTCTCCATCTTTGGCATGTCCAACTTTGCCTACGTCAAGCACGAGGCTGGCATCGACGACATGTTCAACTTCGAGACCTTTGGCAACAGCATGATCTGCTTGTTCCAGATCACGACGTCGGCTGGCTGGGATGGCCTCCTGCTGCCCATCCTAAACCGGCCTCCGGACTGCGACCTGGACAAGGAACATCCCGGGAGCGGCTTTAAGGGGGACTGCGGGAACCCCTCGGTGGGGATATTTTTCTTTGTGAGCTACATCATCATCTCCTTCCTGATCGTGGTCAACATGTACATTGCCATCATCCTGGAGAACTTCAGTGTGGCGACGGAGGAGAGCGCGGACCCGCTGAGCGAGGACGACTTCGAGACCTTCTACGAGATCTGGGAGAAGTTCGACCCCGACGCCACGCAGTTCATAGAGTACAGCAAGCTGGCGGACTTTGCCGACGCTTTGGAGCATCCTCTGCGCGTCCCGAAGCCCAACACCATCGAACTCATCGCCATGGACCTCCCTATGGTAAGTGGAGATAGGATCCACTGTTTAGACATCCTGTTTGCCTTCACCAAACGCGTCCTGGGGGACAGCGGAGAGCTGGATATACTGAGACAACAGATGGAGGAGAGGTTTGTGGCTTCCAATCCTTCCAAAGTGTCTTACGAGCCCATCACCACCACGCTGCGGCGCAAGCAGGAGGAGGTCTCGGCCGTGGTGTTGCAGAGGGCTTACAGGTCGCGGTTGGCGAGGCGGGGGTTCATCAGCCGAAGACCCCTCCCCACCAAAATGGAGAACGGAGGAACGAACAGAGAGAAGAAGGAAGGGACGCCCTCCACCGCCTCGCTGCCGTCCTACGACAGCGTCACCAAACCCGAGAAGGAGAAGCAGCAGCGGGCGGAGGAGGGAAGACGGGAACGGGCGAAAAGGCAAAAAGACGTCAGGGAATCCAAGTGTTGAGGCAGAACGCTGGGATTGTACAAACCTAGGGGAAAATTAAAAAAAAAAAAGAATTATATCTATATTTGCAAGCGGAGAAAAAAAAAAAAAAAAAAAAAAAAAAAGATTGTTTACAAACTTGGTGAAATATATCCATACAGAACAGCTGTGGAGACACTTAACCTGAAGATCTTATACCAAACGTAGTCTGCTTTCCTGTGTGACAGCGTTGCATCTAAAGCAGTGACCTTCCACCTGTTTAAAGGACCCCTGTGTGAACAAACGTTTAAAACAAAGCAGGGAGAAAAGGAAAAAATATGGATTTTTCTATTGTTCAGGCAGGTGGATACTGCATGTTCCACATCAGTCAATGCAACTTAGGACAAACAAGCAAAATAAAAACACACACACACACACAAACACACACACAGAAATAAAACCCGCTGCTGGGATTCATATATTTTCCAAAGCAGCCAAAAAATGGATTTTATTTTCCCATTTTGTTGGTTATTATTGAAAGAAAACCCAGAAGTCACGATGTTAAGGGGTTTGTTCATGCAAAAGTAGATTTGCATTTAGTTAAGCAGCAAAACAAAACAAAACAAAAAAAAAAAAGGAAAAAAAAAAAGAAAAAAAAGAGGAAAAAGCAAAAACAAGCGAAACAACAACAAAAAAAAGAAACTAACCACCCATTTAGCCCATGCCATTTAATTAATTGTCATAGTTTATTTGATATTTATTATCTGCATTCTACTTTCTACATGGGCTTTACTTGGTTTGGGAGATGGGGTAATCGGGAACCTTCAGCCTGGAACCAGCTCAGGCTGAGCCCCCAAAAATCAAAGTGCTCGTTCAATGCATAGAAACGATTTGCATGATGGCATGCCGTGACCAGGAACCATGCATGAGGAACCATTAAACCACGAGACACTCAATAATCTGTCCACAGCAGTGTGTTAAGCCATAAATTCGAGGCACTCCACTGACTTACCGTACACTGTATTTGGAGATTAACAATAATCGTGCCCTTCACCGGTACTGACCCGTTCTCAGCAATCTTTCATAGACCTGCCAGTAGGAAACAAAACAAAACAAAACAAAAAAAAAAGAAATGAAACAAGCAGGTGAAATCCGTGTGTGTCTGTTTGACGACGCGTCTTTCTTTTCCATCCTGCCATCTTTTTTGCACACCGAAATAGAACTCAATGCTGCTCTGGACCCGGTCCAAGGGGTGACGTTAAGAACTGGGAATGGCTTTGTTCTACTCTTGTCACTGTAAAACCAAAATCTAGGGCTCGAATACCAGTCAGCACGTTGATTTGTATCCTGCAATAGTTGTCGTTAGCGTTAATTACGATTCTGCCTCCATCCTGCAGCGTAGACTCGATTTGTGTTATTTTTTTAGTCTAGGGAAAAGCGCTGAGGACTGGAAAGGGGGGGGGGAGCTGGCATGTAGCCCCCAGTAGGGCTGGGGAAGGGGCCATCGCTCAGCTGTGCCGTGGGGTGGAGGGGATGGCAGGGAGCTCCGAGCCCCTTCTGCTCCTCCATCAGCGCTGCGTCGGCGCAGCGCAGTTTGGTTTTCTTGCTTCCGTGGCCACAGCGGTTTTTATTGTGACGATTCTGCTGTCGGTTGGTTGTTCCGGATTTTTTTTTTTTTTCCTTTTCTTTCTTTTTTTATTTTTTTTCTCCCCGTTTGTTTCAAACGAAAGGCAGCACGTGCCCGTGTGGTCAGTGGGAAAGCACCAGCCCGGGGGTGCAGGGGGAGAGCCGGGCGCCAGGTGCCTTCACCTCCTTCCCATTTCTTCCACTTCCATCGAGTGGCGAACTCGAACGGCCCTGCAGGGTGGGTAGGAATCAGAGCTACCTCTTGCCTAGTCTTCTCGCTGCAGCAGCAAACGATGCCACAGAGGAGAAGCCCCAACGTTTCTTTTTTCTTAACGGCCACGGCGACCTCGGCACCCGACCGCCGCTCAGTGGAGGTTCGTTCTTCAGGGCCGGGATGGGTTTTCTTCCAGGGTAGGAAGGGCGGCGACGGCTGAGGGCCGAACCGAGGGGACCCCAAAGAGGGGGAGAGCCAGGAGCTGGCGGTAGCAGGAGGACGGAGGTTGGCATCATCTCATGGCCCAGCGCCGTGCGCACGGAGCCATTCTGCGCCCCAGGAACGCGGCGAGGAACCTTTTCTGTCCCGTCAGCTCTTTGCCCCAGTTGCTCCTAGGATATGATGTACAATAAAACAGAGAAAACATACATATGTACAGGCTACATTGTAAACAGCACAAGAAAAAATAACGATAATAATAAATAGCTGAAAAGTGTGGTTGAACTTTTTAAGAGAATATTATAAATACTGTAATATATCATTTTATTTTATCGGCATGCCTTTTTGTAAATACAAAGAACTACGAAAATAATAGAATGGCTTCTGGCTTATGCCATTGTCCATGTTTATTTTTATTTTTTTAATATCTTTCTTTTTTTTTTCCTTAGACTTTAGATAGCCAGTAAACGTCCCCCAAAGAAAAAAAAAACAACAAAAACATAAACCCTACCCCCCCCCAAAAAAAATAGATTTAAACAACAAAAAAAGCTTTATTGCAAATGGACTTTGCAACAGCAGAAGTATATATTCTTGGGTTCCAATGTGCAATAAGTCGACCACTTCTATGCAAGATTTGGCTAAACTTCATAGTTGTTCTTAAGCTGGGCCATTGACTCGCAGGCGAAGCTTGGTGCAATTAGCATTCCTGCTGGCAATCCCATTCCGCTACTCAGTTCCTCTAAAGGAAATCCCTTCAAACTCTGTATATATATTTATTTTTTTAAAGCATCAGACCCAAACGAGAGGTCGGAGGTGGCGTTAGTTGGTGGCAAAGGAAGAGGAACGAAGGGTTTCTTCCTCTGCTCTCCGGCTGAACGGAAGGTTCTGGGTTTTTGGTGCATTCTCAACCTCTTCGTTTCCTGCTCGGGGCAGCCAGTGCCATCAGCCGCTGCAGCCGATGGAGCTGCGTTTCTGGACATCTTCACTGGGTGAAGCCAAGGACAGAGGGGAAACTTTGGCCCAAAAGCACGAAGGACGTCGGTGTCTGAAGTCAAAGGCGTACGCTGGGATTTATATTCCAGATTCAGGGTTATGGGAACGAAGCTGAGGGTGTTGTTGTCCGTGGAAAGGACGTAGCCAAAAAGCCAAGACTACAGCAAGTAGCTCTCTTCCCTCCCCCCGTGTCCAAGTCCTCCCTTTTCGGTTCATCTGTTACTGTGTAAAAGAGCAGAGGGGAAGGGCAAAAAGGAAATACCGATTTAAGCTGCTTATTCACTTTTCCTGTTCACCTTTTTTTAAAAATATAGAAGCCAATGTTGAACAACAAGAAGAAAAACTCCAATAAAACCGTGATGTTAGAGGCCACACCAGAGTTCGGATTGTTTAATTTTCCGCCGCAAAGAAAAAAAAAAATAAATAAATTGTTAAAGCTGTAAAAGATCAATAGTGAAGATTAGTGTATTAGAAATTGCATGGTGGCTCATAATGATCTTACCCAACATGATTAAGGATTACGTTACTATAAGCCAAAAGACAATAAAATAAACGTTACCCTTTTCACTGTACAAGGTCGGGTTGTCTCGGTGTCCCAGTTATTTGCCTGCTTGTCCTCTCCGTCCTTCCTCCAAGGTCTTCTTTGGTTCGGTTCGATGTTGACGCGACGACCGCAGTGAGACGCTGGGGTTGCGTTGGTCCCTCATCTCCCATCTCTTACCTCACACTGGGGGCGTCCCTGGAGATGGGCGCCGTGGTCACGGGGCATCAGGTGCCCACGTCCCCAGCACCCCCTGCCCTTGGCCACGCAGCGGCGGTGTGGCTGGACACCTCCAGAGCAAGAGGCACCCAACCAAGGATGGCGCCATCCCCCATCCGTTGGGCGCTTCCTGCAGGACCGCCTCTTTGCTCCCTGCTTGCTCCAGGAGCTCAGATCACACGTTTTGGGACATCAAAGGACGGAACCCACGCATGGCACAGGGCCGTAGGATCATGGAATCCCTCCCAAGGTTCTGCTGCATGGCCTTGCTGCCTGGTCCCAGAAGGGGATGAGCTGCTCCTCCAGGGGTCCGGATCTAACCCGGAGTTGTTGCAAGGCAAAGGGCCAATGGAGAACCTTGTAAAAATCAATTCTCCTCGTAGAGTTTTGGTCCAAATTATTCATCAGATAGAAATATCAAATATTTGTAGGTCTCTATTTGGTTAAGGTTGGTGCCTTCACTCTGCTCCCTGCTTGGTCTGAACGCTGTTTCCTATCCCTGTCACCTCCAGGTTTTTTTTCTCTGCTGTTTTACGCAAAGAAAGGAGGAGGATGGAACTGGCTGGGGTGGGAGGGAGGAGGAATGCCTCCAGGGAGAGCAGTGGGACGGGCGCTCTGTGTCTGAACATTGAGTTCCTTTGTACTGTACATCTTTTTACTTTGGAATTTGCAATAAAGAGCTCTGTCCATCTGATTTTAACTCCTTCTGCTGGCTGCCCTGTCGTTCTGTTCCCCTCACGTTAACGGAGAGCATTCGCCACCAAAAGCAAGGTGCGAATTCACCCTGGTGTCCGGGCAGCTCTGGGGATGGGGAGATGCAAACTCCTTTTTCTTCCCCAAGAGCACAAGAAGCACAACAGTAACACGGCCTGAGCCTGGCCAGGGATGTGGAACTGGAGCAATGCACTCAGGGCTGAGCATTTTGGGATTGAGGTTGGCCATTTGCACAAGGTGCATCGAGCTGCTGCAGTGCAGAGGCTGCTTTTGGCTCTGTAAAGAGTTCTGCAATGCCCTGAGCCCAACCAAGTGATCAAGATACACAATCAGAGTAGAAACAAAAGCTGTTCGTTCCCCAAGCAGAGGGAAGAGCCTTGCAGAGACTTTATAGGGCGATGCTTGGATGCAGCGCATCCTGAGAGAGCACCTGAGCCCACGTGGGACGAGGAAATCCCCATTGCAGCAACCACACGGAGCTCACCCCAAACTCAACAGGGCACTCAGGCTTTTGGAGAGGCCAACCTGCACTCGTAGAAACATCCTGCTGTACCCGCTGTGCGTGTGCTCCATGATGTCCCCCTCCCCCTGCAAACACACAGCGCCCCCTCAGCCCTGAGCAGCACGCAGGGCCAGCCCTCATTCCGCTCCAGAGTTAACAGTGCTGCCCTTTGCCTGGGGCTGGCAGGGACGTGGCGGACGACGTGCAGCAGCGCAGCAGATGGCAAAGCAGCGTCCGGGAACAGCGGGGCGGCCGTGCAGCTCTGACCTTCCCTTCCTGGAAGGAACGGCCCCGAGAGGAGCAGCGCTGTGCCAGGAACCCACGGTGCTGCTGCTCCAGGAAACGGCACGCTCTGAAGGGAAGGAGATACAATTTCATTTATAAAGCATTCTGTGGTTAACTGCTTCGCTCGTCTTTTAAAGGCGTCGTCGGTGCAACTCGGCCTTTATTTTCTTCTCTACCGTTTCCCATTTGTGTGGATCGGTGCAAAATCTGTTTCTTGATGCAAAGTAGAGGTTTTAATTCCAGTGACAGCAGTGCAGATGGTGGAATCAGACCCGGAGGAAAAGAAGTTTCATTACTGCAGAGAACTTTCTAAGAAATGGAGGCAAACGCTCAGGCACAACTTAACAGCAGCTGAACAACAACTGCTCCCAGAACAAAGCTCCAGGAGAGCAAAGGATGCTGAAATGCTCGAGTTCAGCAGGAGGGGATTCCTGTAGGGCTGGGGACGTTCCCACATGAGGAAGGAACAATTCCCCCAACCCATTCCCAGGCATCCTGAGAGCTTCGTGGCGATGGTTGCAGCAGAGAATCCCCCACTGGGGGGAAGGGAAAGAAGAGCTCAGAGATCCCATGCAGCGCTTGGGGACCGCAAGTCCAGGGGAGCAGAGACCCCACCAAGGCTTGGAGACACCTCTGGGGACTCAGAAACCCAACCAAGGCTTTGCAGACCCTATTGGAGGCTGGAAGACCCCACTGGGGATTTGGAGACCCAAACAAGGCCTTGTTGACTCCATCTGATGGAGAACTCCAAGGGCTGCAGCGGCGATGAGGCCAAGGGAGCTTAGCCTGGCTCCATCCCTACCCAAGGACGTTCCAACAGCCGGTGACAACTCACAGCAGATGCCCACCTTTGGATGCTCAAGGCGACCTAAGCCAAGGACAACACAGGGCTCCCCTCCACAACCCTTTATTGCTTCATTGTCCCACCGGCACCTGATGGCGATGCTCCAGTTCAGTCCTGCCCCCACCTCACGAGGTGACCGAGCCCAGTGCCCAGTGACAGGAGAGCACAGTGACCACAGCAACGAGGACGGAGGCGACGAACCCCCCGAGGACACCCGAGAGCACGGGGCCCACCCAGCCCAGGGGGCTGCGGGTGTAGGGAGGGGGCGGCCGCCTCTCGAAGCGCAGATCCCCCGCATCCCCCGAGCCCCTCCTGCTCCGTGCCGCTCCATACTGCTCGCCCTGCAGCAGCAGTGAGGAGGTGAGATGCTGCACGCTGTGGCCGTACTCCTCCACGTTCCGGCGCAGCTCCAGGCTCCGATCCTGGTTCAGGTTTTTCCCCAACTCCTGGGCGATGTCGGGGCGCCCGATCTGGCGGAGGCTGCGGGCCAGTTGGTCCCACGATGTCACCTCTCCCTCCATTTCCAGCCACCTCCTTAGAGCCTCCGAGCAGCCGGGGCGGTGGCGTGGGACGCGGGGACGAATGCCGTCCTTTGGGTTCCGCTCCGTGTCCTTGCTGGGTCCCATCAGCTGCCCCTGGAGCTGGCGGCACTCAGATGGGGACAGCAGCGCGGCGATGCGGGCCATGGTGTGACGGCCAACGTTGGCTGCCGCCGCGTCCTCACAACGGCCACCCACTGCCACCAAGAGCAGGACGAGCCCCGCAGGTGCCAGCATCGCTCCAGCGCCCGTTGCCATGACAGCGTCCCCAGCTGACATCACAGAGCGCCACGTTCCAGGATGCCTCTCAGCCCCTTCCCAGTGCTGAGCATCTCTTGCACTCAGCTCAGCCCCAGACCAGCTGCTCCCCAAAAATTCAGCGTGGGAGCTCCATTGCCAGCAGAGCAGCACCAAAAACCGCTGCTGAAGAACCGTTTGGTCGATGCCCTCAGATGCTGAGTTTGATTTTGGGCGGAACTGATTGGAGCTTGGGGTCGGAGGCAATGATCCTTACGGATCCAGCTTGGGGTTCCTACAGAAGGGCCGAGAACCTCGTGCTGCCTCCAAAGCACCTCAGGGCACCTTCGCCACTTCTAGCAGCGTCTCTCCATCCGTCTGTCTGTCCATCCACTCATCTCTCATCCATCCATCTGTCCAACCATCCTTCCAACCATTCATCTCTCACCCATCCATTCATCCGCCCCTATAGGACGTCCGAATGTCCGCCCGTCCGTCCGTCCATCCGCCGTAACCACGAGGTGGCATTGCAGCACCGGCCACAGCCGCCTCCCATCGGCTCAACTCGTTCCCATCCCGATCCAGCAGCTCCGCTCTGCTCAGCGCTCCCAACGCAGACCCAAAAGTGGGGCAGACCCACAAGCAGCGCTGCTGCCCCACAGATTTCACCAAAGATGGCAGCCGTCAGACAGCCTTAAAGGGATCAATTCTTGCACGCACACCTCTGCATTCACAACACACAGCCCTCAGCCCCTCAACCGCAAACTGGGGTAGGGTTAGGGTTAGGGTAAGGGTTAGGATAAGGGTTAGGGTTAGGGTTAGGGTTAGGGTTAGGGTTAGGGTTAGGGTTAGGGTTAGGGTTAGGGTTAGGGTAAGGGTTAGGGTAAGGGTTAGGGTTAGGGTTAGGGTTAGGGTTAGGGTTAGGGTTAGGGTTATTGTAAGGGTTAGGGTTAGGGTTAGGGTTAGGGTTAGGGTTAGGGTTAGGGTTAGGGTTAGGGTTAGGGTTAGGGTTAGGGTTGGGGTTAGGGTTAGGGTTAGGGTTAGGGTTAGGGTTAGGGTTAGGGTTAGGGTAGGGTTAGGGTTAGGGTTAGGGTTAGGGTTAGGGTTAGGGTTAGGGTTAGGGTTAGGGTTAGGGTTAGGGTTAGGGTTAGGGTTAGGGTTAGGGTTAGGGTTAGGGTTAGGGTTAGGGTTAGGGTTAGGGTTAGGGTTAGGGTTAGGGTTAGGGTTAGGGTTAGGGTAAGGGTTAGGGTTAGGGTTAGGGTTAGGGTTAGGGTTAGGGTTAGGGTTAGGGTTAGGGTAAGGGTTAGGGTTAGGGTTAGGGTTAGGGTTAGGGTTAGGGTTAGGGTTAGGGTTAGGGTTAGGGTTTAGGGTTAGGGTTAGGGTTAGGGTTAGGGTTAGGGTTAGGGTTAGGGTTAGGGTTAGGGTTAGGGTTAGGGTTAGGGTTAGGGTTAGGGTTAGGGTTAGGGTTAGGGTAAGGGTTAGGGTTAGGGTTAGGGTTAGGGTTAGAATTAGGGTTAGGGTTAGGTTTAAGGTTAGGGTTAGGGTTAGGGTTAGGGTTAGGGTTAGGGTTAGGGTAGGGGTTAGGATTAGGGTTAGGGTTAGCGTTAGGGTTAGGGTTAGGGTTAGGGTTAGGGTTAGGGTTAGGGTTAGGGTTAGGGTTAGGGTTAGGGTTAGGGTTAGGGTTAGGGTAAGGGTTAGGGTTAGGGTTAGGATTAGGGTTAGGGTTAGGGTTAGGGTTAGGGTTAGGGTAAGGGTTAGGGTTAGGGTTAGGGTTAGGGTTAGGGTAAGGGTTAGGGTTAGGGTTAGGGTTAGGGTTAGGGTAGGGTTAGGGTTAGGG